CCAACTCTTTTCAACAACTATTCTCTAAAGGGTAAACTACCCAATCAAATGGTCTCCACTTTCTTTTCTTGTTTTTAGCAGTAAGACCTGGAAGTTTAGGGTGCACCTTATGGCTTAATGTGTTACCGTTTTTGGCTATCCCGAAGACATACGCCTGCGAGACGATGAAACACCTTTTGGTGAAGGCCAGGTGTGCAGATTGTTGGTTTTTCCTCCATTGAATTAACACTCGAAGACCCCATGCTATACTGGATGTAAAAACAAAGAAACCCTTGCAAACGCCTTCAGCCCCCGCCACCGCCACCGAGACCTTGCAGATGGCTTCAATGAAGTCACAGTTTTGGAAAAAACACGTCGAGGATGGAGTATTAAGAATAAAAACTCAAAAACTTCGGAAGACTATATTTTGAAACATGATGTGGTGAATAATAGTCCAGTAGACTGACGAACAAAAAGCCATCTTATGAATTTGACACGTTTAAAAATTCGGACTGCTCTTCACACGATTCCCTCGCGTCCGTAGACGACCTAACGTGCCAATGTCGAAAATTTACCAGAATGTTTGTTCCTGTTTTCCGAAGAATCTCTTCTATCAAAAAGCCATCTGTGTTTGAGGATTTGTTCCTTTGGGCAAACATGTGTAATTCGCTGCGAAACCAAGGTGCGGCGTCATTCGAATGGTTCGGTAAGGTTCTTCCGCCTATCCGTCCTGTCGGTTTTACCCTCCATTTTCTTTCGACTTTCACCGGTGATCTTAAACTAGGTAAGCTGATGAATGCACTCGTAAGCGTTTGAGTTAATACAGTCATTTTCACTTTGTGTGAGTACTATTTTTACTCGTGCTCGTCTTAGCCAAATGCAGAAATCAATTCTTTTCTTCGTGACCTGATTTGGATTCTTACAGTTAAAACACTGTGTCCCGACAACAGATTCAGATTCAGATTATGGTTTATGATAACTAAAGAAGTGAGCTACTCACTCTCATTAATGACAACCACAGTTCACTGAACATTGTTAACTTTGCACAAGTAAGAATTCTAGGCTTAGAACCGTAGGCAATTTTTGCACACCAGAATGTGTTTCTCCGTCCGCTGACGATTTGGACAGCTGGGCGGGCTGTCCTTTGTGAAAACGTAAACTGCCTTTGTCCACATGGAGGGCCAAGCAGCGAACTTAGAAAAATCGATCAGCTCATGACCAAAACACACAGCTACAAATTTTAATTGTTGATCGATAAAGTCAGTGCACGCCTTCACAAAGGACAGCCAGCCCAACTGTTCGAAACGTCAGCGGGCAAAGAAACAAATTTCGGGGAACAAAAATGATCTATGAACACTGTTATTTAGAAATCCGTGGCAAAGCCCCCCCCCAATCCCTCAACTGGCCTCATCTCCAACCGGCAGACTGCAAGTGAACCGATGCTGGGGTGTTCGACAGTGGCTATACGGCCAAAATTTCAGTATTCGGCAAATATTCCCATTGCTAACTGGAAAAGTCAATTCGTACATGTTCAAAATTTAATTGTTTGCAAAGTTAAGGCCCTGAAGAAGAGTTGCTGAAAAGCATGTTTTGCCTGACAAATTGACATTTCAGTATTCACCAGGGCATCGTAATGTGGGAATCAAATGCTGCAATACTGACAAGGCCCAGTCCTGCAAAGCAGAAGATGCGACGCTTTGTTTAGGAAGGGTGAGAACAGCTTCATCCGGCGATAAGTGTCTACAAACCGAGGCAAATGTTCGCATTGCGGAAACTTGTATATTTTGAGAAGAAGAAGGCTTATCGAACACCGGAATCATTATTTTATTGGTCTGAGCTTTCGGGCTCCTGCAGGAATCCATCGTCAAAAAATGGGAAAACAGCAAAAAATGCGGTGGCTAGTGCTGGCGTGTGCACAGTTATTGATTTTCTACACGTTCAAATTTTGGTCTTTTTTCTGCACACACCAGAACTAGCCACCTCATTTGTTGCTGTTTTCCCATCTCTGACAAAGGACTCCTGCAGGAGCCCGAAAACTTAGACCAGTAAAATAATGATTCAGGTGTTCGATAGGACTTCTTCTTCTCAAGATAAGTGTTTAACCTTTTTTTCATCGCATGTATTGCCAATTTGCCAGGAAGTAGCCCTTAGACGAGACCAAAGCTCATTCTTATTTGTTAACTAGCATTGAGACCAGATGGAAAAGGGACAGATATATTCTCTTTTCGTTTTTCTGGATGCATGGTACTGTCAACTGAACGCAGTTCTACTTCAGTAACTACTCCCCCTTCTAGAATTCACACGATAACAAAGAAAATAGGCCAGCTATATGCGAATATATAAGTATGTATGCATGTATGTTCGAACATGGATTTCTAGTAAGTCCACCAGGTGCACTAACAGGTTGGTACAGAAGGTGACAGTCTCAGGGCGTAGCTTTAAAGTGATAGAGGACGTAATTAGTGTCAACTGCATTCTTCACCTGCGAATAACTATGGCTATGACACACAGCCGTTAGTTTAATGTGTCTTTGCATTCCATTGTCTAATTATCACCAGGCAATGTTATAGGATAGATGGGGACATGCAGCTATTGTTTTGCATTCAATCCAACTCAAAAATGAAGACTTAGAGCACAGTTAACGTTTCCAGTCACCAATCTCTTCCTCCATTTCTCTACATTCTGCGAAAACTCGACTGAGACCGGGCCAGTTTTTGGCGGCCTACTCTGGGAAAAAGTACAGTCAGCTGAGCAGTCAAAGTGAAACGATTGGACTACTCATGCAATTTCGCACTCCGTAGGTTGTTCATGCCTGTCATTAAACGCAGTTTTTCCTATCAACTTGGACGTAGACATGGTGAGAGCCCTCCGTCTAAGCCGACGGCGTCTATCGGGTGCCATGACGGGCAGTCTTACATGTTGCTACCGCTTCATAATGCAAGCCGACTTTATGAAGTTCTCCTATCAGACGACCAGAAATTCGATGGCTGGGCGATTTCGTCAGCCGTCAAGCGCTATGTGGTAACTATGTCAGATAGTCTGCTCGATGCTGAAGGCCTAGCCTCGGTCATTGACGAGAGGCTCGGCCAATCCCTGCGGGCACCGGCAGGCCTGGCAAGAACCTTATGGCGAATGCTAGCTGCCCTCACGTCTTCTATTGACTGTCCCGGTGGGAAGAAGGCTAACGACCTAGAGAGGGGGTGGCGTATAGCTACACTCGATTGCGTCATATACCACCTCTAGGAGTTTATGGGCCTTCAGTTCTCAATCGCATGTCCCCGCGTGCACTGGTTTTGTGCCTGTCACCCTCTCTCTTCGGCACCAATGATAATGTCGAGACCAACAGTCGTGTACGCTTACCACAAACTGCTTTCTTCACGCCTTTGCATGCAATCATCAGTCCCTAGGCTGTATCTGCAGTCTTGCCTTATTCCTGGTTTATTACTCCTGCGTAGGTGCTGGAGCTCCTGATTAAGCACTGACCCTGGCTGTCATGTGGTTTGCAGGCAACCTGTGTCTGCAGGCTGCTGTCACCTCTTCCACTGGCTGTCCCGCTGCTACGAAGACCGATGTTTGGGTCCTGTTTATCGCAACAGACAGAGTCACCCGATTACCCAGTAAATATTCCTCAAGACTGACATTATTAATCTGAAATGAGATTTATTAATCCGTGCTTTAATCTATACTGCCATAAATCGTCTTCTTTTTTCTGCCGAACAGGGGTTCCTCTGCAGTTGGCGGACATGGTGAAGGCTCTACGCTTACGCGGCTTGAATCTTTAGCTATTGTGTCGTTTACATCAATCAGAGAATAATGCGAATACTGGGTGAATTAGGCATGGTGATATCACTGTACTGGCTCAAATGCTAGTGAGTGCATTATATAATCATGGTTAGTTACACTAGTGAACGCTGAAAGACGTCGAGAGAGACCCTTTAGGAACAGAAAGCATAAGCCCTACCGGCAAGTATGAAGGCATTTCCGACAAAAGGTTGGAGACAGCGCGACCACCAAGGACAGTGTTAAACCGGGAAATCCAGCATCTAGGTAGCGGCAGCGAAAAACAAGAGGAAGAAAGGTGAACGGTCGTGTACGTGGCCTCACTGGAAAAAAATGTTTGTAATGGCAGTAAAAGGAGTTTGACGAATAAGATGTGAGAACCTGTCAGATACTTTTTTAGGGAAGTAATGGATTCCTTTTTTTAACTATACAAATAAAGGGAAAATCGCGAGCGTGCAATTTCAAGTACTGGAAAGTAGAAGCTGTACGCGGGCCGCAAAAATAAAAATCAGAGACCTTCGTCAGATATTCCAGACTAACTGATCTCAGCCAGCTAAGATCAGTCATACTGAAGACGTCGATGTGAAGAAGAAATCAGTAAATCCAACTTCTGTGACTGCCGCTACCCTTCATGATAAACCGGTGCCAGCGACAGTTAGCTATGCGACCTATGGTGGTTATTTCTAAGCCGTACGATGATATCATTTGTTTAGGCATAATTTAACCACCCTTCGCTCTCGCTCATTCGTTGGTACGCCTGAACCAAGTGTTACCATTACTGTTAAAACTTAAAGTGAGGCTTATCGCTAGGATTAAGGTTTAGGGTTAGAGCAACAGACGAGCTTGGGTTAGAGGTTTAGGACTAGATGTTGGCCTTTCATCATTGTCAACTTCCATTATGCCTTCTTAAAATTTGATATGCGAAGTAATGAGACCTTTCGGCTTAAAGTTATCTGACGATTGGAAAATTTGTCCCGCATTATATTGACGACCTACTTAAGTCATTTAGGTAGACATGGGTTTGTAACCTCATGCCCTTCGGCTCCGGGTTAGACTACGGTTATGCTTGGCGCTTATGGCTAGGGTTGGACTTGGGATTTAGGTAAAGGGGAGGCAATCGGATTTGAAACCGCATTTAGAAACCGGAAAACCAACGCCACCTGTATTACGTGAGTGCGAATAGTAAGGGTTTTCGGGGCTGGGCAAACCAAACTAAATATTAATTATATTAAATGGATGACAGGGGAAGAAGAAAGTAAATGCATTTTTATAAACAATACCTCGAATAATCCTTGGTGTCCTCAGCAAAAGCAAGTACGAGGAGAGATAAACTGAAGGTCAGCGTGCTAGCGAACATGCTATAGAGAG